TGCATGTAGTAATCATATATCCGTGACCGCAGCCGCTTCATATCGATACATTCGCTTTATATTATACCTCGCAAACGAAGCTATACGAGCATCAACAAAGATCGGACATTTGTGGGTGGGAGGGCGCGGTGGGCGTCCAAGTCGCCACGTACTTAACAGGACGCTATAAGGGTACCTTTCCAGTAGAAGGCGCCACGCAGCGCTTCTGCCCCACATGACGTGTTAATCGTACACTTCTTGGGGATTTATCATCGGAATATGTCTTCGACAGAAACTTAAGCTCGAGAACATTTTCTATCTTTGGGGACGATCAACCATTATTTGTGCAATTGTGGAAACATACATTGAGAACGCAGTGGTTTCGGGTTGAATACGAAAAGTGAACATCTTTGAGAGCAATACGTCCTGCCAAAACTTCCTTCCTGAGACCTTTCCTTCCGCAGTCGGCAGAAGGCACCTTAAAACAGTTGTTATAAGGGACAACCAGAGCCTTTTGCTGAGAGCTATCAAGTAATTTCGTACCCTATCAATAGTTTTGTAAATAATAGCAGCCGCCATACGTGCTTTCATCAGGGCCATCATGTGAGGCCCGAGCATTCCTAGGTAGTAGGCGGTCAGCGAAATCGTGCCCACACAGAGAAGCACATCGCCACGATCATCCACCATACCGTGGAAAAAACCATAACAACCAAACCTGAAGCGAGCGCAACGTGAACAGATTTGGCAGAAAGTTACTTATTTCAAATTAAGAAAGGGTTACCAAAGAGCAACTCCAATAATCACGTAGATTTGAAAGAATGAAAGTCCTTCGAAAAATCCCATCCAGAAGTGACTGCAAATAGAATGCGGTTGGGCACTGCGGAGTGACGCCTGATATTTCTGAAATAAGAACGTAACTCCTCACTGGTATGCAACCCCCATAGAGGCGAAATTACGGTGTGGAAGCCTAGAAGTTACTTGTTAGTGACACATCCGATGTGACACAGAGTATAGAACCTCAATCGGAGTTCCATGCATGTGGCTTGAGGCTAGCTGGCCGCTCCTTTTTGCACAAATAGAAAACCGATATTCCTCTCAAAGGCAGAGCTCGAGATCGTTCATAACTGCCCAATCTCATCGTACGGAGAGGTAGGGCGGACTGCATCGAGCCATTATGTGTGAGTTACACGTCAGAAAGTGGTAAGGTAGCAGCGATATGGCACAAGGTTGGTCAAGTGACTATGCCCGCGGTGATAGATGCCTTAAAGGCACATTCCGCGATAAAATAAGGCTATGACCTCTCAAATGTGTCGGACGATCCGGAAGGCGATTTTTGAGGCTGCGCTACTTTCAAAATGTGAAAAACGGCAAGAACTCCGCTAGAAGCTGACTAATTAGGCCCATGGACACCCCTTAGGCCCATGCCGACCCTCACCGGCTGCTAGCTACTAGCTAGTAGCCACTATGTTATCTTTCTCTATAACATTTCGGACTGCTTTTTCTGCTGCTTTTCTCCGCTAATCAGATACTTAGCACTTTTTTGTGCCTATTTGAGTTCCGTTTCCCGCAATTTGCGGTCGCGAACTGTGCCTTTAAGAGCCCACTTGTAAGGCTCTTGTCAGATTCACTGTATCTTCGCGCCACCGATTTGCTATAGTATAATTACCTGCAGTCGAAGGAGTTAACTGGTGAGGTAAGGGAAGCGGGCCAGCTTGATCTGCATGAGGGTGAAGGGTTTCGCCTATAAATCTGAATTCCTGTGACAAGCTGGCGTTAAAGACATCTAGGGGGGGGGGGGCAGAAAAAAGACATTTCGACCGAGTCACATATCTGTCGCGGATGCGACGGTCGCCGTTGGGCGCACCTCGCGCCCCGGCCCATCCGTGCCCGGTTCCCACGGCGTGCGATTCACGTGCGCCGTGGCTCCGCCCCCTGCGGTCGTGGCTAGTATAGTACGTTCGACGGCTGGCAGCCGGTGCCGGTCGGTTTTCACCGGGCAACGCGGTGACAGCGCCGAAGGCGGAGGGGTGAAGTCCACTCCGAAGCTGGAGGCAGCCCGAGCGCCGGCCATGAGCCGGCCGATGTCCATCCCCTGCTCCCCGACTGGGAGCAGCCTCCACTCCAGCCCCGACGAGGACATCGACGATCGCATGGAGCAACGAGGAGTACCGTCGGCAAGATGGGGGCATATTACGTTATTGCGTCCAAGGGGATGAAGCCTTAGCAGGCCTATTGCGTACTCGGAGGGGCTGAGCCCAGGGGGGCCTATTGCGCAGTCAGCTAAACCCGTGAGAAGGCGACCGAGAATATCTATTTCATTGTGGTGAGTATTTCGCGTAGTAAATATGTTTATTCACATTGTGTAGTTGTGTTCAATATGTTGGTATTGCCATCGTTTTGTACATGTAGGTGTGGTGTATTGCGTGGGTAATGCGTGTGCATCAGACCATGTGTAGGTAGT